TCTTCCTAAGCACTTAACGTATGGTGGGTTTGGAAACAATAGCACGCCGTATCTTTTTGTAAGTGATGATACCTTCTTCAATCTTTCATCCTTTTTGTCCTACCGCCGGGATGTTCTGTGGATATTGGAACCTTTACAAACACTGGACATTGACGTCACGTGGCCAGATGGGTGGCGTTGGTGGCCGTTGCCGTACGGTGGCGCTGCGCTGCGGAGAATAATCGATATTCTGCCTGGAGAATGGAGGGACCACTTGGCCCTCGTGAAAAATTGGACACTATCAGGAAAACGATTGATTTCTAGGTATAACGCAGATACTCTATTCATTCCAAATAACCAGTACAAAACACGTTTTATTGAAGTTTTAAAATGGTTGATGGGACCGAACATGCCACGATTATTTGCTGAAATCGCTACCCCATTGCTAGTTGACCTTATAACCACCGAGAAGCCGGACCGACCCGATGTCATTCAATTAAAAAACAATCATCCCCGTGCTGGTCTCGATATGGCACTTAAGGCGCGGTCGTGCAATTTACTTCATCCTTTAAAGTTGTCCAATGACAGGAATAGGCTAATTTGGCTGTCCATGTTTAAGAGTGTGGAAAGGATTTTACAGACGCCTCCATAGTTGAACTGAAAATGTCATGATGAATAAAAATTGGCAAATGCCAATGATATGGTATTTGATCGGAGCTTTTACAGTGTGACTGCATTGTATATGCTGCGAACCACCAGACGTATGGCATTATTATCTCTGCAGATTAATTAACAGATTATTTACAATGTGTATTATATAATAAATGGGCCTCTATTGACAGAAAGTTTCATTTTTTATCTTTCATCCCTGACGTCACCTCTTGTACATGAGACATCAGGTTAATTGCCTCGACCAGTAGTCTAAGAGATGCCAGAACCTGGTCAGACGTCATTAGAATCGAGATGTATTTGATGGAGAAGTTCATTTTTTGCTATACCATATCGATTGTCGAATGTGAGCCCGTCGATAATTTGGGGGATGCCTTTTGGGAGAGTGTGTGCAGGGAAATATCATCAAAGTGCTGGATCAGTCCACGTTTAAGGTGCAGTCCATGTTCATGGCTTTTGAAAATCGTTCATTCCGGAACAGAGCGTTAATTGCGCCATGTCTACAAATTTCATCATGACAACGGCCTTGCTCACGGCTCTCGGCTTTTGGTTGAGTTGTTGCAGAAACAACGTTCTGGGGTTTGAACAAACATCTTTGATCTCGAATACTAATTCTATTAAAAGGACCTGAGGGATGATTCCGAGTGCACAATGCAGGAAAGAATGATCTCCCTAACAACCTGAAATAACTTTACCAAGCTGTTATGGAAGAAAGGGATAGTATCCTTCATAACTGACCTGCTTGTTGGAAGCTATTATATCTGCAGATTTGCAGATATAATTGCAGTGCCTCATCGGATCGCATGCTACTAGACATGTGCATTTTGATGCTTATTGCGTATCGATTTGAATGCATTAAGTGGTATTTTAAAAGTTTGATGATTATTTTTACTTTTATGGAAAATTACTGTGGAAGGCTATACTTGAGGGGTTGCATGTTCTTAATTTAAATTAATGAAGTTAAATATAAATATCTTCAAAGGAAATTGGGCTTTTTTAACCTTAAGTCATCTCCAAGTTGGTTGATGGAACAAAAAATACTAATCAGACTGCCATGTGATTATTTGTAAACAAACGCACATCAGATTGAAGGTAGAACAACTCAAATGAGCCTGAGTGAGTCATCCAGCCGTTTCTTGGATATGCGACTATAAAATATTTGCCCAAGGAAGCAAAATATAACCGTGCCAGAGTATATTGGATCTAATGTAAAACAAGTCTCATCATTTTGAGTAATATTAAAACCGAGACATTTATTTTATCGTCTTACTTGCCACAGACAATTAAAACAATTAATGTTATTTAAAAACTAATTTATGTAGCCAAATGTTCACAAGCACAACGAAGCTCTGTTTTTGCTCCAAATTAAGTAAGATAAGTCGATATGACTGAAATTGTCATTTATTAATGACGAAAACTAATAAGATAAGCTCTGTTTTTGCTCCAAATTAAGTAAGATAAGTCCATATGACTGAAATTGTCATTTATTAATGACGAAAACTAATAAGATACAAAGTTACAAAATTGGGGAGATAATCAAACATCCCCCAAACTATATAAGTGCCAAATATAAAAATAATAAAGTATGTTACTGAATGTAACCAGGATTAATTATGAAAAAATATGAGAAATCACAACAGCTATAGGAGCAAATAAAAATAAAAGGTGGCTGGGGAAAACTAAATAATCCGAAGAAAATAAAGTCACCAAATAACAAATAGCCGTTCCCAAATCTTGAAACCACAAAAGTGATGACTGGTAACCAGTGTACAAATAACAATAAAGAAACGTAAGTAATAATACAGTGTAGCTGCTAAAACTGCGGGTAAATATATCCGCAGCTACAAAGCTGAATGACTTTTCACTGAATGCAGTTCATTGGAATTAGTCTCCAAAACATCTTTCATAGAATATACATGTGTGTGCCTAGATACACAGCAGTTAAGACATTCCTCTACCCTGGACATCTGTTATCACCTTGCCTTGGTCAACTACTTAGGGTCAAAATGTGCAGACACAAGACCCAAACAAAACGTTTGTATTACCAAAAAGTTAAAAGCACCACTAAAACAAACCATTTGCTACATAAATACAATTAATTGTCTTAATTGTAGTTATATAGTGCTAATTTTCTACTGTAGATTTCCAGTTATTTATTGTAACGTTATATTTCGCCATGATTTTTATAAATGCAATGTATTTGTAGAACAATTGCTGTTCAGGGACGGCCTCGATTCCATATCTGCCACAGGGGCCAAATGCCAAGTGTAGAAATGCGTTATTCGCCTATTTATAATGTTCGTATTTAAGAATTCTTCAGAGCCATTAGTCGCCAAAGTTTTGGTAAAAGAAACAACCATGCGATTTGTCCATCACGACTTAAGATGTTCACTGTTGCTTTATCAAAAATGTGCCTTTTCGATTAAAAGGTGTTCTTCAAAAGCAATTAGGTCAGCAGACACCACATGAAACCAAATAGGATATATACAATATGGCCACACGATACTCCTTGGTATATTGGAACTGGTCTGGATATTCGGTCGGCTCAGTAGGAACGTCCCTTTTGTACAGATTTAATATGGAATATTTCAGTTTCAAAGTACGCCTAGGTAAAAATGTGTTCTTTTAAAAAAACTCCGATCTCATATAAGATATGTGAATGGAGTAGTGTGTAGTCAGGTGTTTATAGCTACCAATTAACTGATTACCTTGTCTGTTGCGCTGCTGATTTTGTAATATACAGTGATTTAATTGGATAGTGCTCCTTTGGGCTGATCAAAACCTGGCATTGGCAAGACATGTTTCTCTCAAAAAAGTATCCATATATCGGCAATTACTGCATAGATGAATTTGAAATTTTGCATGTAAGCGGTCGTTTCTACAGTGCGTAAAATGAGCTAAGCAGCATTTTACAACATTGTTAATCTGTGTCAGAATGGCCCTAAAAATAGAGACATTGCCAGACAGATTATTTGCGCCAAACGCAACGGTCCTCAGAGTTTTATAGAGTAATTCCCAGACTGATGCACCCACACAGAGGCCACACCCAATGCGCCGAAACCTTACCACTAGGGTACAGGACCCACTGTCTTTCAGGATATGCTGCTGCAACTAAACAAAAGCCACCCAGTCTGTTCAGAATGAGCGGCAAATTGCCACCAGATCGCGTTTTTCAAGGACCCTAGCGAATACCAAACAGGTTAAATATCAGATGACCTCCAAAGAACCCACTGTAAACAGCAAAACATTGTCGTTGACCGATGCCTGACACGTTATTCCAGATTGAACTCTAAAAACCCTTTCCAAGGAATGCCTTGTCGCTTGAGAGCGCTGGTAGCAGCCAGAAGAAGTCAGGCGTAACATCTACAATTGCTTTGACTAGACACTGACTTGAGGGTCCTTTTTGGGGCGTGTAGCTCTTTAACTAACGATTATTTGGAAAATCGCTTTTAATGGTTGTCGCATGGCATAGAATAGGCAATGTATTTTGTTTGCTTCACTGGAGAATTCAATTAATAAACTGATGTCAAAATGCCATCAAAGAGATCATTAAAGGTTATCAAGTCTGTATATTTGTGTGACCAAAGGCCACCCGTCGCGTACCGCTGTTTACATCAACGTCATAACACGCGAAGTGGAATATGTGGTATGAAGAATATTGGCGGAGGATGGCCACGGTTTAAATTTGCGCCATATCTGTTGGATCATTCGGGGTGTGACATACTTTCATGTCACATCAAACAAAACATTACACTGCCAGTTTATCCCGCCTATTTTTATTGATATACAAAAGTTTATAATTATGATACATGTACTAGAGTAGTAGTTATGGCTCTCGTGGCAAAGCATCCATGTTCCAAGCATCAAAATTATATTTGAAATAACCATGACCCTAAGGATTCATCAGTTGTATATGAAAACGGAAATCCCTCATTAAACGTAAATGTAGAGAAATGAAGAGAGCAAAAGACATGCACTTCGGACAGGATGATTCAATGGTTTAATCTTAATAAGATATACATCTATATGATAACCAAGCATAGAGAAGAGCCAGTAGGTAAAATTTAATCTGGGCATGCCTTATCATTGCTTGCCTGGCACCGTTCCGAGAAGATTCAACTTATAGGGAAAAATGAGCTGATTTAAAACGTTGAAACTGATATTCTTATACGGACAAACTACAAATATCTAACGCACCTGTCATATCTAAAACACAACATAACAACAACACATCCAAATGCTAATTGGCAAAAACAAAGGAAATAATGCACGTCTAAAAATTCAAAAGGTAAAATGAAATCTAACCAAAAGGCCATCCCTGATTACAGGGGCACGTCTTTATGATCGCCGGCTTAATAACGAGCGCCGAAAATGAGATCAGAGGCGCTGGGCTCTTGACCAACAAAGTAGTCCTCGAAAGCGTCTATGAACTCGTTGGTATCAATCACACCATCCTTATTCCAATCAGTGGCATCAAATATATATTGAGCCTTAGCAGTGTTACGGAAAACAGTAAGGAAGTTGTAATACTCATCTACCATCAATTTGCTATCGCAATCGAGATCAAACGCGCCAAACCAATCGTATGCAAATTTTACTGTCTCTTCTCTTAAGCTTATATTAGTGAGTTCATCTTCGTCAGCCCAAAGCATTTCTTCAAATGTGATGGATTTGGAATAGTTGTTGTATTCATTTGACCACCACAAGTAATACGCACTAGACGATATACCATTCACCGCCATGGCTCTCCAAGACGGGAGAACTTGCTGAGCTCGCTCTGTTGTTAAATCGATGCATTCCTCTTCAGTCAACCTTCCATTTTCATCAACGTCCATGATATCAAAGAATTGTTTGTACTTGAAAATCCAGTGCGCACTGAAGTTTCCTTTGGGGTTCTAGAATACGAAAAGGTATTATAAAATTAACACGATTTGAACACGGCTGGTAAGGCATAACATTATCTATATTGTCTCTTTACGACTGTGTTTATAGCCGCAGTTGATAAAAATAATCATTACGTTAAACACCATACCCAAGTGATTGGCGCTGTTTATTGCAGTTAATTCCATTACCATTTGAAGTTTACCCTGCGCTAATTCATCGTATTAAATGATGAGATCTATTTAAGATAAAACAATGAATTGTCAGTTATTATTTTCTATGCGTTACAAATGTACAAGTGTTTCTTATAATATATTTAACCCCTGCCCTTTAACTGTTGCACTTTGTTGTCCCTTTACTGTTTACAGTAGCCGTTTACGATTCTTGTAGACACCTGATTTAAAGTAGTCTTCAGGGCTAATACTTAATATGGAATATTGTTTTTGGCGAGTAAATTTTCTACAAAATATTTATTTTCTCTCAAACTATTTAAATCCGAAACTGAGGTGTCACTTAATGTGTAGCCAGGCGAGCTACCTAATTACCACTCGAAACAACTCGTGCATGCAGTTCAATGTTCTGCGATCAGAAATGGGAGGGGTGGTCTTCTCTGGAATTTCTGCCCTTGTATAAAAACGCATGGGTTTGGTCAATCTTTGGAGGATATTTCGAGCAGCAACAAAGAGATCGGTCTGAAACTTGACAGGTAGCTTAAAGAAGACATCTTTCGACGTCTAAGCAACTCAGCTTACTATGGGAATCTTGCTCTCAGAGAAAATGGCCAACACGGTCAGCCATTGACAGGCAATTTAACATTTATCAGGGAACCGTTAGTGAAGACTAGGGTGCAAGCAGGTGGTGGTAGGGTCTCTGTTTGGGGAGCATTTCATTTCGGTGCCCAGAACCAGTTGGTTTTCTAGAAAGCAACCTACACAGAGACATTCTACAGCAAACAATGCTTCACTTTGTAAGCGCCATCTTCAGGAACAACTCTGTGTACCAACACGACTACGCATCCCCACATCGTACTCGCAGAATTTCTTCAAAAGCAATGGGTTCAGCAAACTCCCCAGATATGAACTCAACTGAAAATATGTGGGCAGAAGTCATCAGCCGGTAAATCGTGATGAACTACGACAGGCAAATATCACTGCGTGGAATGATATCCCCATCCAAACTCTGAAAAGCTTGTCACAGGGTATGCCATGTAGGGTGAGGGCGCTGCATAAAAAATCCCATATTAAGTATTAACTTTGTAGCTTCCTAATACTCAACACACCGTAGCAAATCGTGTTTGGAGCTCTACCTTCACTATTTTTGAGGAACAGAGAGTTTGAACAACCATTAGTAGGAGCAGAACTCTCAGATTGCTGGAGGACATCCTTACGAACTTTATTCTGTTAAGATATCTAAAACAAAAATAACAACAGACTTAAATTATATAACCCATTATTCGTTGAGTGGGAAATACAAGTTTATATAGCACAGTGTCGGTGTTAGGGGGGGTCAGGGGGATCCTAAAAATATATCACACAAAAATTCCCCACTTTTAGTTCTAAACTGTTCCAAAGGTTACTGAGGTTACTGTTTGCTCTCCAAAACACCATGAATTGTTCGGGGCTCTTGAGCAGGCCCCACACCATAGGGGGAGGTTGTCGTTTCGGACCCCCTTCAAATAAGCTTGGATCCGTAGCACGTCCTTTCATAAAGCTAACTATCGCTAACAAAGTATTTTCTTCATTTTCGTAAGGCCTACATGTTGCAAATTTTACAGCACGCAAACAACGCCTGCTGTCTACCCGCTGTTTTTCCAATCAATCTTTTCTGATGTTTTGTATGAGCGTTGTCTATTTAAATACAATCTGTCGCATTACTGTCGGATTTAAGATAATTAGTCACGCTTGCCCCCCATTCGACATGTTATATATCCCCTTTCTCTTTCACCTCTAAATATTTACATTTCAACTTTAAATGAAAACATCAAACTACATTTTACATTATACCGGCTATGACGCAGAAGTCAAACTTTTGAAAATCATAATCAAAAGCAGATAATCTTTTTTGATATAGACAGACAGATAGATATATAGACAGATAGATAGATACTTTTAGAAGAAAAACTCGAGCAAACGGGAAGACAGCAGGCGCTGTTTATGAAGGACTGGTATGTCCCCAGACCCACGTCCTCCCGTTCCGGAGACGGACATTCTGACCACAAGGCCATCTGATAGATAGATAGATAGATAGATAGATAGATTGGTCATCAAACATCAAAAAGGAAATAAGCGTTTTTATAATCAATAAAAGGAAATAATATCGTTAAACATGTTTGTCAACAAACACAAATACCAAACAAAAATGTTTATTTGTAGTTAACTATGATGCGAACAATGAAACGCTGACATTCAATAATAAATAAACATTTCAACGTATACGCTCAACAGCGCTTAAATAAATATTCCTGAATTAAAATGTATGAACTAAAGATGAACAAATTTGCCTTGACTTTGGTAATTACCATATTATAATTGTGAAGAGCCGTCCACCGGTTGATTTTGAACAAGAAAGTTAGGACATATTACCTCAAAATGTACAGAGGGAGACATGCACATCAGAAAGGATGATTTAATGGCTATTCTAAATAAGATACATCATATGCAAAGCAAACAGTAAAGCTAATGGTTAAAAAACGATAAAGGCATGTCGTATGTCTTTTTTATCTCACACTGTTCCGAGAAGAATCAACAAATACAGTAATGGTGTTTTTTTATGCGGAGAAGCAACAGGTAAGCAAGTACATTTACATTTCAAAAGTTCAGAAGTTAATATGCAATTTATAATCAAACTGGTCATGGCCAAATTAAGTTTTTATTATCACACGCTTAATAACGAGTACCAAAAAGGACATCAGAGGAGCTGGCCTTTTGTTCAGCCCAGTAGCCCACGAAAGCGTCTATGAACTCGTTGGTATCAATCACACCATCCTCATTCCAATCAATGACATCAAATATATCTTGAACCTTAGCAGTGTTACGGAAAATAGTAAGGAAGTTGGCATACTCATCTACCATCAATCTGCCATCACAGTCGAGATCAAGCACGTTAAGCCAATCTTTTGCGTTTTTGACGATCTCTTCTCTTGTAATAGGGATTTCCGCCTCTTCAGACAGAAGCATTTCTTGAAACGTGAAGGATTTTGGATAGATAGTGTTTTCATTTAACCACCACAGGTGAAAGGCACTGTACAATATACCATTCACCGCCATGGCTCGCCAGGATGGGAGAACTTGCTGAGCTCGCTCTGATGTTGAATCGACGAATTCATCTTCATTCACCTTGCCGTTTCCATCAACGTCCATGATATCAAAGAATTCTTTGTACTTGGAAACCCAGTGCACACTAAAGTTTCCTTTGGGGTTCTAAAATTTAACAAAATACTATAAAACAAACATGACGTAGACGCGACACAACTGCAAATGGCCAAACTTTGCTTATTGTTCACCCTAATTTTTTTTTTTTTTTGTTTGTTATAGCAGGACCTTACCACTTAATCTCTGCGCCAAACACAAATGACCAAGTGCTTAGCGTGATTGCTCGCTGTTTGCGCTTTTCACATTGTCCTTTGAATTTCAACCTGCCATATTATCCTGTTATATGATGGGTTCCTGAAGTATCATTTATATGCGTCACAAAATGTATTTTGTGTTTCTTATAACATGTTTAACCCCTGTCCTTTAACTGTCGTACTTTGTAGTCCCTTTGCTGTTTACAGTAGCCGTTTATTCTAGCTTCCTAAGATATTCAAAAGACAATAACCATTTAGTGTCTGTACCTACCTTTACCATATTCGAACAGCAGATAGTCTGAACGACCATAAGAAGGAGCATAACTTTCAGATTGTTTGAGGACATTCTTATTTGAACTCTGTATTGTTAAGATTTCTAAAAGAAAAGTAATAAACAACTTAAACTATACTTAACAATATTAAAGGGATAATAACTGTTCGTTTTGGCCAAAAAATTTTCCTGGAGTAAACAACAATTTTCCCATATTTACCAATGGCAAATGAATCCATTTTTACATTCAAAGCTAGTCCATGTTTTTTTTTCAAAAAAATTTCTTAAGAGATTATAACTGAGTACAGCCATTAATGGAGGTCACGTAATCTGAAGGCAAGTTCAGATATCGGAATGATAGCTATAATTGCCGTTTTTGTGGTAAAACAGAATATATTATATTTCTATGAGTTGCTCACAAAGTTTTTATTGTGAAATATAGATATCATACGAAGAGTTATTATCCCTTTGATGGAGTGTGTAATACAAATTTATATCACACCTTTCATATAAGAAATGATTTTTGTTTCACTATAGCTAAATTTAAAATCTGCAATTAACAGTAAACAATATCTGTATTTTGGTAGGCCTACATATGTATACGTTTACAGCACACAAGCAGTACAACATCATAAGGTATGTATCATAAACGCTCCGGAGTTCGTCGGTCAACTGAAATTCCAATGTTCGTGAACACTGGATCCTAAAGCTGTCGAAATGACGAAAGTTGTTGACATCTAAGATGCAGACCATACCCTTCAATATGTATTTCTATTTAGCTTTACTTACCAGATGTCTGTTGTTTCTCCTAGAACCTAGTCCTATGTAATGTTTTGTTTCAGTGAACGTGTTATATTTTGAAACAATCGTTTCGCAATATGAACATTCGGGGTGAAAATTATCAGTCACGAAGATCCCCTATTTGACATGTTACCAATCCCTTGACACCTCCATTTTAAAAATCATACATTTGTATCACTGGAGGTAAACATCAAACTACATTTAATACGGGCTATGAGACAAATTAGGTCATCTTGTTGTCAAACATTTGAAAATCGTTAAAGCAGATTGTCTCAGATAGATAGATAGATAGATGAATAGATAGATGAATAGACGGACAGACAGACATAAGCACAGACACAAAGGCAGCCAGACACTAGCAGATGAATCATTTAATGATTTGCTTTAACTGTTTTTATAACCATGCTTAATTGTTAATACCACAGTATAAGTGATTTACGTGGTTTTCTTACTGTCAGTGTCCTAAAGCAAATTCGACATATTGGGCTGGCTTGGGGCTCTATCCAGTTTCAAGCACACCATTTCTAACATCTCGGTTTAAAGGAATAATAAGACTAAAGAATTACCTTCACTCCTCACGAAAAATCAAAGGTTAGAACAACTGCAAGCAGCAACAGTTGATATTTTAATGGAAACATTCTTGTTGAATCTGGGCCACAAGCGAATCCGGAATTTAAATAACATTCCTGTATACTGTATAGTCTTCTGTATACTATATTCAAATTGTATATAAATATGTTTTATTTTTCCAAATTCATTGTTATCCATTTCTAGAAGCTTTGTGTTTGTACAATTGTCATAAATAAACATCTACTGTGCTACTTCACACAGATTACTTGCAGAAACATGTGATTTAGCAGCAAGCTACCTTGGCCCCTAACAGGGCCGAAAGATCCCCCAATGTAAACTATATTTAAAACATAAGGGTGTAAATCACTCTCTGATTTGATAGTCCACTGGTACAGCTGACATATCTAAACCGACAGACTGGGAGTGAGACCGACTAAGAGAAAACCTGTCAAAAAGATGGTATTGTTTCTTGAATTGCGTAACTGCAGCAAGGGGAGCTACTGGTCGTTTCTCTGACTAGGCAGTTACTAATCAATCTTCACCCTAAAAGGTTAATTTAGAAAAAGAAACCCAGATAACGTATACAATGGTTATTTTATTACTTAAAACAGCCATGTACGTTTGTAATGCTTTACGTAAGGTTCCAATTTAGGAATTGAGTTCTCGTAATAGACACTGAATAATCTGTAAGAAGCTAGCAAGACATCTTGGTTTTCTTTGATAATTCAAAAATGTAGTAAGAAAAATATTTTTGAACGCAGATCCATATTAAAAGACAATTATGTTGATTACCGTATGCTGTAATTATAATATACTGTACCAAAAGAATCCACAATAATTAATAAAACATGGTTGTCTCAGAGCTTCAAGCCGTCTAAAATTCTGTGCTACATGTTTCTACCGCTAGAAATGTGCAGCAATAAAAACATGGTAATATTCACATTTATGGCTATTCCTTTATAATTTACTACTCGTGATACAATTTCATATAAATATACAATCTAAGTGCTACTAACCATCACTTCATTTGGACACAGACTTGCAGTAATAGTACGTTTTCTAAAAAATAGTGTTTCGTACCATATGCTGATACCATACAATTTCATATAAATATGCAATCCAAGGTTAACTACCCATCTTTTTCCTTATTTAGAATAAAGCACATTAAAACCATCAAACTGCTTTGACTACCAGTAAATCTGAAAATCATGTTTTGTAACCATGCTGATCCTTTACCTGTAAAGCTTATGCTCCGAACGCGCTGGGTGGTATCTGGTAAAAGCCTTCACTATTTCTGGTAAAAGCGATGCTTAATTCTCATCACGAGTGATGCAGAGTATTTCTTTATCCTTTCCGTTATTACGCATGCCCATTTTCCCAATAATTTTATTGGATAAAATCATAAATACGAAATGAGTGTCTACGTATGTAGGTAAAGACAGACAAAAAAGTGAAGATATTTAATGTCCCTCTCTTACTTTTTGTATTTCTTCCCGTTGCTTTCAGCGCATTTGGTTTAACTAAGGTTAACTGCTATATTTATACTGTATATGTACACTATGTATTTCTGCTGATTCAATCTTTATTATATTACGATTACTTCAGGTGTAATCTACCCCATTGCCACTTTTAATTCTTATCATTAATTCTGGGACGGGTTTTTATATGTATGTTAACATTAACGTAGCTGATAAGTTTGTCATGCGGGCTTCCAACGATATCTTTTTGCTCTATTTATTTAATACGCCATAATACTCATGTGTTTGTAAAGGGTAAAGGACAAAGCTTTGTAAGACTAAAAAATAAAATTGTTTTTTAGCCGGTATACGTAACATGAGTTTAGCTAAATGACTTTCATTTCGTTGGCTCGAAGCATTTCTTTAAATGTGATAGATGTTTTATAGTTGGTGTATTCATTTGACCACCACAGCTTGAAAACAGCGGACAGTACATTTAATTATACGTATGTATAGTGCATAATTAGGTAATAAAATCCCAAATGCCGCCAGTCTCTGCCTTTGAGTCTGTATTCTAGCGCAATAATATAAAATAAATAGTGCAATTCCTTTGTCGAACCTAAAACATTCAAACAACGCAGTACTATATGGTCTCGAGATCTCCTGAGTGAGAAAACAGCGCTGTAAACAACTTCAATGGGCAATCTATACGTCATGCAGTCAGCCACCCTGGCAGCGTTTGATCCCAGGCATTGTTATTGTGGTGTGGCAGGAGTGCACGTCCAAGTAACGCAAGTCCTCCCGGATAATGGGATGCAATTCCTAGGGCATGCATTGCTAGGAATGGCAGTCCTAGGGCATACATTACTAGGATTAAATGTCCGTAGGACGAAGTGCAAGTCCTACGTGTAGTATTACAGATACACCCCGGTTACGGCCACGCTGTTATACCTAGAACCCCAACTGTTCATAATTATAGGGCTGTTTTTAGCGAGAGTGGCCGGCGAGCGTAGCCGTTTGGAGCCTTGCAGTTCCCTGTCGGAAATTCCCTGTCATATATTTAATTTGCCTCCATAATATTCCACCCGAACCTGCCTTTTGTTCCCACATGTGGCAGCACGCTGCGTCTTCGCATGTCCGTTTGTAGGAAAGTCGCATTTTAAGAGACCTTTTATGAACGATGTAGCTTGCTTACAAGCACTGCGTATTCAATTACTGAATTTGCTTTTTTTTTTATTTCACACACATAGAGGTAAACTTTTCTCAATGATTACCTTTTTATTCACCAACGTTTGACTGCGGTTTCTCTCTTTTATTATTGTATGCAACTGAACTATTAATTGTAATTGTACAGTACATGTAACTACACTCTTGTCCTAACTCAGTAGTTAGGAATAGGATGCTTGGACAAAAAAACTTGAATTCAACTCAATTAGGCCTAGGTTGTGATGCTGCTATCAAGGTGTTAATGCCATCCGAGGAAACACCTATACTGAACCCTCTACCAGAAGCCCCCTAGCTGAAACAATTTCTTTTTAATCGTCAAACGATTAGTGATTTCAATGAACGTCATTGATCGAAAGCCTATGACAAAAACCGAGCCGTCTGCAATTTTGTTTTTTAAAGCGTATGTGAATTAATCATGATCTATTTTGTAATGTTCTTTTTTTAATGAGAGTGGTGTATTTTAATACCATCATTTCGCAGTATTGTCGGGATGAACATTATTAGTCACACGTCTCCCCTATTTACATGTTGCCAATCATCTTACACTTCCATTTTTCAAAGCATACATTTGTGCCACTGGATGTAAACCTCATACTCCATTTAATATGGTCTATAAGACAAAATAGGACATCCATCCTGTTGTCAAACTTTTGAAATTCGTTAAATCAAAATGTCTCTTTTGTGATAGATAGATAGATAGATAGATAGATAGATGAACAGTCAAATAGAAATTTGGTACATTAGATTTTGACTGGTTATGCCTTTTTCCTGTGTGGTTTGCAAGTAAATATTTTCTATCATGATTTTTCTTCTTATCTACAGGACAGTTGCACGCAAAACAAATTTTTTCGAATACTTTCATGGATATTTTGAAAGGCCACAACAGGGCGATGGGGACGATCTTTTGAAGCAGATGGATTAACTATATAAGAGACATACTAGTTACGCCAGTAAAAGATAGATAGATAGATAGATTAGTGTAGACACTTTGAGCGAAAATACTCGATCAGTTTACATGTGATTTCTTTATTTGTTCCAGGCTAATAATAAACACTCAACGTAAGAAATTCAGCACATTAGCAAACTTATGTCATATTCATTAGTTTACAATTTTTACTCTCTTTTTGCGTTTTCAAGAGACTCAATCGCAATGTGAAAAACACAACGATAAAAATGTCTCGACGTTAAAATTAGGATACATACATCCTCCTTTGCTCTCACCAGTACTTATAAACTAAAATATTTTTTAATTAAAATAAATAGTTCAAAGATAAAAGAATGGAATCCATTTATTCAAATATCCAGTACACTAAATATGAGTCGAAGCAATTCAAATGCTTGAAGCATTTACTTGCAAAATTCAAATTGAATGAAAAATGATACACTTCTAAAGGGGTTAAGTTTTTTCATTAAAATTGCGACAGACATGAATAAAGCCATCCCTAAACCAAAGTTAAATGGAAATCCATTGGCTTGTTTTGTCGTCAAATTTTTAATCTCGAGAGCCAAAAATATATGCAGCGGATTTGGCTGCTTGATCATAAGTATAATCTTTTACTGCATAGGTGAACTCCTTAGCATCAATGACGTTATCACCATCGCTGTCAATGGCGCTGAAAATAACTTTATTATCCGCCGTGTTGCGAAATATATCAAGAAATTTAGAGTACTCATTTAGCGTTAACTCCTCGCTGCAGTCAAGGTCAACAATATGGAAAACATCCAGGGCCCATTCGACTACTAGATCGCTTGTAAAGCCGACAACATTTTCTTCAGACTTAACCCAGTCCTCAAATACAATAGACGTCTTATAGTTAGTGTATTCATTCGACCACCATGTTTGAAAGCCCATGGTCATAGCACCATAGACTGCCTTAGCTCTCCAGGATGGCAGTGCAGCACGCTCCGTCGACAAATCGATGTACTCTTCCTTCGTCACGTTACCGTCTTTATTAACGTCAAAGATGTCAAAGAATTTTTTGTATTTCTTAAGCCAATACGGAGTAAAATCTTTGTTGTTACCCTGTGCCACCTGGATAAAAAATGTTTATTTCATACTGAAGTGATCTCTAAAAATTAATGTTACTAAAAAGCTACATAAAAGCTAAATTGATTTGAATCAGAAACAATTCGTTATATAATTTTGATTACACCATTATGCTAGCATCTCTGTGTATTGAACTGCATCATAACCTCAGCTGTCATTATAGGCTTTTGATATTTAAGAAGGCTCTCTTTCGAGCACATCATTTTTAGTCGGTTTTGAAAGAAAATTATAAGACTAAAGAATTACCTTCACTCCATATGACGAATCAAAGGTTAGAACAATTGCAAGCAGCAACAGTCCAAATTTGATGGAAAACATTTTTAATTGAATTTGGGTCACACGCTTACCTGTTATTTAAAAAACAAAAAAATCAAAATAACAAAATATGAATAACACGCTGTTCTGAATTCAAATATAATATTATATATTCAAATTATATATAAACATACATTATTTTCCCAAAGCTTTGTATTTGTAAAATCGCCATAAATGAACGTCTGCGATAAATTACATTATATCTCTAAGCTAATCAATGCTCACACAGATAACTTGCAGAAACATGTGATTATAACCACCTAGCTACCTTGGCCCCTAATGGACACCCAAGATCCCCTGATGTAAACTATATTACAAACACGAGGGGATAAATCACTCTCTGATTTAATAGTCCACTGGTACAAATGACAAATCTGAACGGATAAAGACTGGGAGTAAGACCGACTAGGAGAAAACCTGCCAGAAAGATGGTATTGTCTCTTGAAGAGCGTAACTGCAGCAAGGTGAGTTACTGGCCCTTTCTCTGACTAGGCAGTTAGTAATCAATTTTCACCCTAAGAGGTTAATTTGAAAAATTAAGAAACCCAGATAACGTATGCAACGGCCATTTTATTACTTAAAACAGCCATGTACTTTTGTAATGCTTTACTTACGATTTGAATTCAGGAATCAAAGTCTCGAAATAGGCACTAAATAATCTGTTAGAAGCTAACAAGACATCCTGGTTTTCTTTGATAATTCAGAAAAGCAGTAAGAAAAATATTTTTGAAAACAGGTCCTTATTAAAGGACAATTCTGTTGTTTACCGTGTGTTGAAATTGTAATATAGTGTACCAAAACAATCCACAATAATTAAAAAAACCGAAAATGTCTCAGAGCTGCAAGCCGTCTAAAATTCCGTGCAACATGTTTCTACCGCTAGAAATGTGCAGCAATAAAAAACATGGTAATATTTGTGGCCAATCCTGTATAATTTAACAACTCGTGATAAAATTTCATATGAATATGCAATCTTACTTCAACTACCCAACACGTCTTCATTTGGACACAGACTTGCAGTAATAATATGTTTTCTGAAAATCGTGTTTCGTACCATATGCTGATACCATACACTTTCATATAAATATGCAATCTAACTTCAACTACCCATCGTTTTCCTCATTTGGGCACTTATTAAAGGACAATTCTGTTGTTTACCGTGTGTTGAAATTGTAATATAGTGTACCAAAACAATCAACAATAATTAAAAAACCCCGAAAATGTCTCAGAGCTGCAAGCCATCTAAAATTCCGTGCAACATGTTTTTACCGCAAGAAATGTGCAAAACATGGTAAAATTCACATTTATGGCCATTCCTATAAAATTTGACAATCTGTGATACAATTTCATATAAATATGCAATCTGACTTCAACTACCCATCGCTTCTTCATTTGGACACAGACTTGCAGTAATAGTACGTTTTCTGAAAATCGTATTTCGTGCCATATGCTGATACCATACAATTTCATATAAATATGCAATTCAAGGTCAACTACCCATCGTTTTCTTCATTTGGACACAGACTTAATTCTCTTCAAAATTATCCGAATAAAGTACATAGAGGCCATCAAACTGCTCTGTCTACCACTAAACTGTACCAATCCATTGTTTCAACTCAAAGTAGAAATACATGCAGTATTAGTACTTTTATCTGAAAATCATATTTGGTACCATATGCTGATCCTTTACCTGTAAAGCTTATGCTCCGAACGCGCCGGTGGTTTCTGATAAAAACCTTTATTGTCCTTTGCAGAGCGATGCTTTATTCTCATATCATGTGACGCAGAGTATTTCTTCATACTTTCCGTTATTACGCATGCCCGTTTTCCCAATAATTTTATTGGATAAAATTGTGACCACGAAATGAGTGTCTACATATGTAGGTAAAGACGGATAAAAAAGCGCAGATATTTAATGTTCCTCTCTTACTTTTTGTATTTCTTCCCGTTGCTTTCAGCTCATATGGTTTAACTTAGGTGAACTGTTATATTTATATATGTACACTTAATATTTCTGCTGATTCAATCTTTATTATATCACGATTACTTCAGATGTAATCTACCCCATTGTGACTTAAATTCTAATCATTAATTCTGCGGTGGGTTTTCTATGTTTGTTAATATTTACGTATCAGATAAGTTTGTCATGCGGGCTTCCAACGGTATGTTTTTTCTTTATTTATTTTATACGCCATAATACTCATGTGTTTGTAATGGAAACAAGGGCAAAGCTTTCTAAGACTAGAAAGTAAAATCATTTAGCCGGTATACTAAAGATGAGATTAGCTAAATGGCGTTAATTTCGATGGATCGAAACATTCCTTTTTATGTAATAGATGTTTTATAGTTGGTGTATTTATTTGACCACCACACTTTGAAAACAGTGGACAATGCATTTAATTATACGTTTGTATAGTGTATGATTAGGTAATAAAATGCCGCCAGTGTCTGCCTTTGAGTCTGAATTCTGTCGAAATAATATAAAATAAACAGAGAAATTCCTGTGTCGCACCTAAAACATTCAAACAACGCAGTTCTATATCTCTTGTGGGTGAGAAACAGCACTAAAAACAACTGCAATGGATCATCTAGCTCCACATGGTGCTTTACGAATTTGGTTTGGATCCATATCAAAACTGGATAACAAATGTTTTGTATGTAGGTCCTTCTAATCGTAATCAAGCTTTAATTTTCAATTATCTGTCTCATGTAAAGTATGTAAGGCCGTGAACAGTTTAATTGCAAACAAAAATAATATCATAACATTTATCACTGGCATTTTCTGTGATGAATGAGGTTACTATAAGTCAGTCAGCTAGTACACTTGCTGAGTAAAAGATATACAGCTTTTATAAGTATATATATGTGCTACATATTACGAAAACCGTGGAACAGGTAGTTTCACTGTAAAGCACATTGAGCTTGATCTGCAGAAACAATTCATGGCATTACTGAAATGTATGATAATCCCTGTGTATTTTAATCCATTCGTCATCGACTGGCGCGTTTTCAAGATCTTATTTTCATTTCCTTCAGTGCAAATGATTCATACGGACTGCCAAGTTCAAAAATTTCAATGCTGCTACTTTTTTCAATTTTTTTATGATCTCCAATGTAAATTTAATTTTATAACGGGCTGGGAAATGTTATTATTTTTCCAAGGATTTGTAAGTTACTTCTGTTTTCACTGAGGTCGTCTTATTAAAATGATGGGATATTTTGGTAATACAGAGATTATCATATATTTCAGTGACCAATAAACAATATTCACATTATAAAAGAGAGTAGGATTCCATGAACAGTGGAAAATAACTGGTAACTATATATCCTGTAAAAAAACATGAACTTATAGCCCAGTCGCTGTCAGGCTTTTGGTGTTGCAAGTTATTTCTTTACAGCATATCTGAAAAGTGACATGCCTCGTCGTATAGCCTGAGTAAGAAAGTCTGTGAAACATATGAACGCAAACAATCGATATCCTTTGGTGCCTTCTTTCTTGTTATGAATGGGACTATGAAAGTTTGTGGTACACTGGGATGGAGGTGACATAAACAAAAGAATACTGCTGTCCATGCTGGAATCACTCGAGGAACTGCCTGTAAGATCACATAGTGCCATCGAAGAGAGCAACACACCCAACCAACCATCAACCATTTTTTGTCGACTCTGTAACTTCAGCCTGGGAGCATCGTATACTCTGGGAGTATCGTCAAAAGGAAACATCCCCGGACAAATTGCTAAAACGTATCCAAGTTTTCAGAGGAACAATCGACGCCATATGCAGCCTTTCAATCGGTGAGCTTGGCCAAGGAGTCAGATTGAGCTTTGTTACCTGCCCCAAATTACAAGTTCCAAGGCAATATAGCGATATGACTTTCACTACATTTGTTCAGCTCATTTTTCCCTTTAATATATAGTGAATTGACTTGTGTCATATACTACCGTAGCATTGAAATTACATATTTATGATGATCTCTTTTCAACCCGCATACGCTACTGCTACTAGGAATGTATAGAGTAGGAAAGGGGAGGGAGAATTTATATCGTTCGAGATACGGTATGGTACTGTTAAAACTGTACAGCCAATAAATGAGGGGCCTCAAATATCCGAATCCATCAGACGTGTTCTGGGCATCTCTAAACATAGGATCAAAAAGGTAAGAAGTGTGATTTTCAGCAAAGCCATCATGATTGAAAGCAAATGGACTATTTGAATGACACGCTGAAGGTGTTTTCCTACAGGTTTTATATGAGAGCGATTTTAGGTAAAGACATGGTTCTGTTTTACGACGAAGGAAATGGTGGGTAAATGACCTTAGATAGAATTTTTATACGACATTATTAAGTTCCCATGTGTACTAGTATACTACGCGACCACGTCTTACACGTTGCTAGCTGGTACAAAACAGTGGTCTTTACCCCTGGTGAAAAAGGAGTATAATTCAACATTTGAGTTAAACACAAGTCAACAGGTGTGGGAGAGTTTCAACAATGCCTTCATATAGTACGCGGCTATGACAGTTAAATCTTGTGCATCTATATAACCTTAAACAGAGATACTGCACTGAAATCTGTCAATAATTAAAACATATTTAAATTATTAATGGATTCATTGCATATGGCACCCACATTCAAGTTTACACATATTATTTTTTTAGGTATCATATGCTAAGAAAGACCTTAAACTTATCCCTGGAAGGCTAGAAAGCCATTTTAATTTATTTTTCATTTTAATATATGTCTTTCCGTCTCCATGTTGCACACATTCGATATTCATTCTTTTTTATTATTGAACTTAAGAAATGTAAATTACAGTATACAATACTTCTTTGTTACCCCTCGCTTACTTCTCTCTCACACACATACATACATACACACATAACTACTACTGATGGCTCATCATTTTCATTAATAAATAAGATATTTTGATAAGCACAGCATATTTTTTCTAACACAGCTAGCATTCGATGTCCCTAAAGGACAGATGTCCCCCTTTTTTTATT